GGTGAGTCTGTGGGTCTGTGTGGTGAGTCTGTGGGTCTCTGTGTGGTGAGTCTGTGGGTCTCTGCGTGATGAGTCTATGGGTCTCTGTGTAGGTCTATGGGTCTCTGTGTGATGAGTCTGTGGGTCTCTGTGTGATGAGTCTCTGGGTCTCTGTGTGGTGAGTTTGTGGGTCTCTGTGTGATGAGTCTGTGGGTCTCTGTGTGATGAGTCTGTGGGTCTCTATGTGATGAGTCTACGGGTCTCTGTGTAATGAGTCTATGGGTCTCTGTGTGGTGAGTCTGTGGGTCTGTGTGTGATGAGTCTGTGGGTCTCTGTGTGGTGAGTCTGTGGGTCTCTATGTGATGAGTCTACGGGTCTCTGTGTAATGAGTCTATGCGTCTCTGTGTGGTGAGTCTGTGGGTCTGTGTGTGATGAGTCTGTGGGTCTCTGTGTGGTGAGTCTGTGGGTCTCTGTGTGATGAGTCTGTGGGTCTCTGTGTGATGAGTCTGTGGGTCTCTGTGTGGTGAGTCTGTGGGTCTGTGTGGTGAGTCTGTGGGTCTCTGTGTGGTGAGTCTGTGGGTCTCTGCGTGATGAGTCTATGGGTCTCTGTGTAGGTCTATGGGTCTCTGTGTGATGAGTCTGTGGGTCTCTGTGTGATGAGTCTCTGGGTCTCTGTGTGGTGAGTTTGTGGGTCTCTGTGTGATGAGTCTGTGGGTCTCTGTGTGGTGAGTCTGTGGGTCTCTGTGTGATGAGTCTGTGGGTCTCTGTGTGATGAGTCTGTGGGTCTCTGTGTGGTGAGTCTGTGGGTCTCTGTGTGGTGAGTCTGTGGGTCTCTGTGTGATGAGTCTATGGGTCTCTGTGTGGTGAGTCTGTGGGTCTGTGTGTGATGAGTCTGTGGGTCTCTGCGTGATGAGTCTATGGGTCTCTGTGTAGGTCTATGGCTGTCTCTAAACACCACCACTATCATCGTCTGCCTGCCTACCTGGCTGGCTGCCTGCCTGGCTTGCTCACCCCCCGCCAGACCCCAGAAAACTAAACGATGAAACATATTCTTGGTTCTTTCGGTAAAGTCACCACCACGTAGAAGAGAAACAATAAAATACTAAAAATATAGAACGATAAAATTCTCACGACGTTTAGACTGCAACACAAGCAATCATCATCAGGTGTGAAAATCACAGCAAGAAAATGTTCTTGCCGTGGTTTGTGAAAACCACAGCACACCTGATGATGATCGCTTGTGTTGCAGACGAAACGTCGTGAGAAATTTTATTGTTTTATATTTTTATTATTTTATTGTTTCCCTTCTACGTGGTGGTGACTTTACCGCAAGAACCAAGCATATGAATCCCTGCAGTCACGAAAGCTTTAAATCAAAATTTAAACGATGAAACTACGAACTTTTTTCGTTACTTGACCGGGAAAGGTCCAAGAAGAACCATGCATCTCTCTTTCAGAAGTCACCTGGCCACAAACGGTAGCAGCTCAACTTAGTGGGCTCGTCCAGGAGAAATGTACAGTGGCCGAATACTCCCAAACGCGTGGTGACATCGATTCTATGCGTGGGGGGGGGGAAAGCCGGAGGACCCGGAGAAAAATCCAAGTGACCACGGGAAGAGAGAGAGAAACACGCAAACTCCAAATATACAGCAGGCGCCGTGGTCGGGATCGAACCCACGACCCTCCTGCGTACCAGGCCAGGTAATTAACAACTCCCGAGCCACCGTGACGCCCTAAGCTCAACCGGATTCCACCTCCAATCGTCGAAATAAAGATCCCGATAATTTTTATGATGATTCTGGGGGGCCTCTCCCTCCGGCAACGAGATTGTCTCTACCGCTAGCTGCCCTGAACCCCGCGGTGTGACGCTCACTCCGGCAACGAGATGGTGCCTACTGCTAGCTGCCCTGAACCCCCTGGTGTGACGCTCACTCCGGCAACGAGATGGTCCCTACCGTTAGCTGCCCTGAACCTCCTGGTGTGACGCTCACTCCGGCAACGAGATTGTCCCTACCGCTAGCTGCCCTGAACCCCCTGGTGTGACGCTCACTCCGGCAACAAGATGGTGCATACCACTAGCTGCCCTGAACCCCCTGGTGTGACTCTGCCTCCGGCAACGAGATGGTGCATACCGCTAGCTGCCCTGAACCCCCTGGTGTGACGCTCACTCCGGCCACGAGATGGTCCCTACCGTTAGCTGCCCTGAACCTCCTGGTGTGACGCTCACTCCGGCAACGAGATAGTCCCTACCGCTAGCTGCCCTGAACCCCATGGTGTGACGCTCACTCCGGCAACGAGATGGTGCATACCGCTAGCTGCCCTGAACCAGCTGGTGTGACTCTCGTTCCGGCAACAAGATTGTCCCTACAGCTAGCTATCCTGAACCCCCCGGTGTCACGCTCACTCCGGCAACGAGATGGTCTCTATCGCTAGCTGCCCTGAACCTCCTGGTGTGACGCTCACTCCGGCAACGAGATTGTCTCTACCGCTAGCTGCCTTGAACCTCCCGGTGTGACTCTGACTCCGGCAACAAGATTGTCTCTACCGCTAGCTGCACTGAACCTCCTGGTGTGACTCTCCCTCCGGCAACGAGATGGTGCCTACTGCTAGCTGCCCTGAACCCCCTGGTGTGACGCTCACTCCGGCAACGAGATGGTCCCTACCGTTAGCTGCCCTGAACCTCCTGGTGTGACGCTCACTCCGGCAACGAGATTGTCCCTACCGCTAGCTGCCCTGAACCCCCTGGTGTGACGCTCACTCCGGCAACAAGATGGTGCATACCACTAGCTGCCCTGAACCCCCTGGTGTGACTCTGCCTCCGGCAACGAGATGGTGCATACCGCTAGCTGCCCTGAACCCCCTGGTGTGACGCTCACTCCGGCAACGAGATGGTCCCTACCGTTAGCTGCCCTGAACCTCCTGGTGTGACGCTCACTCCGGCAACGAGATAGTCCCTACCGCTAGCTGCCCTGAACCCCATGGTGTGACGCTCACTCCGGCAACGAGATGGTGCATACCGCTAGCTGCCCTGAACCCGCTGGTGTGACTCTCGTTCCGGCAACAAGATTGTCCCTACAGCTAGCTATCCTGAACCCCCCGGTGTCACGCTCACTCCGGCAACGAGATGGTCTCTATCGCTAGCTGCCCTGAACCTCCTGGTGTGACGCTCACTCCGGCAACGAGATTGTCTCTACCGCTAGCTGCCTTGAACCTCCCGGTGTGACTCTGACTCCGGCAACAAGATTGTCTCTACCGCTAGCTGCCCTGAACCTCCCGGTGTGACTCTCGCTCCGGCAACAAGATTGTCTCTACCGCTAGCTGCCCTGAACCTCCCGGTGTGACTCTCACTCCGGCAACAAGATCGCCTCTACCGCTAGCTGCCCTGAACCCCCTGGTGTGACGCTCCCTCCGGCAACAAGATTGTCTCTACCACTAGCTGCCCTGAACCTCCCGGTGTGACTCTCCCTCCGGCAACAAGATTGTCTCTACCGCTAGCTGCCCTGAACCTCCCGGTGTGACTCTGACTCCGGCAACAAGATTGTTCCTACAGCTAGCTATCCTGAACCCCCCGGTGTCACGCTCACTCCGGCAACGAGATGGTCTCTATCGCTAGCTGCCCTGAACCTCCTGGTGTGACGCTCACTCCGGCAACGAGATTGTCCCTACCGCTAGCTGCCTTGAACCTCCCGGTGTGACTCTGACTCCGGCAACAAGATTTTCTCTACCGCTAGCTGCCCTGAACCTCCTGGTGTGACTCTCCCTCCGGCAATGAGATTGTCTCTACCGCTAGCTGCCCTGAACCTCCTGGTGTGACGCTCACTCCGGCAACAAGATTGTCTCTACCGCTAGCTGCCTTGAACCTCCCGGTGTGACGCTCACTCCGGCAACGAGATGGTGCCTACCGCTAGCTATCCTTAACCACCCGGTGTGACTCTCACTCCGGCAACAAGATTGTCTCTACCGCTAGCTGCCCTGAACCTCCCGGTGTGACTCTGACTCTGGCAACAAGATTGTCTCTACCGCTAGCTGCCCTGAACCTCCTGGTGTGACTCTCCCTCCGGCAACGAGATTGTCTCTACCGCTAGCTGCCCTGAACCTCCCGGTGTGACTCTGACTCTGGCAACAAGATTGTCTCTACCGCTAGCTGCCCTGAACCTCCCGGTGTGACTCTCGCTCTGGCAACAAGATTGCCTCTACCGCTAGCTGCCCTGAACCCCCTGGTGTGACGCTCCCTCCGGCAACAAGATTGTCTCTACCGCTAGCTGCCCTGAACCTCCCGGTGTGACTCTCACTCCGGCAACGAGATGGTGCCTACCGCTAGCTGCCCTGAACCTCCCGGTGTGACTCTGACTCTGGCAACAAGATTGTCTCTACCGCTAGCTGCCCTGAACCTCCCGGTGTGACTCTCGCTCTGGCAACAAGATTGTCTCTACCGCTAGCTGCCCTGAACCTCCCGGTGTGACTCTCACTCCGGCAACGAGATGGTGCCTACCGCTAGCTGCCCTGAACCTCCCGGTGTGACTCTCCCTCCGGCAACAAGATTGTCTCTACCGCTAGCTGCCCTGAACCTCCCGGTGTGACTCTCACTCCGGCAACAAGATTGTCTCTACCGCTAGCTGCCCTGAACCTCCCGGTGTGACTCTCACTCCGGCAACGAGATGGTGCCTACCGCTAGCTGCCCTGAACCTCCCGGTGTGACTCTCCCTCCGGCAACGAGATTGTCTCTACCGCTAGCTGCCCTGAACCCCCCGGTGTGACTCTCGCTCCGGCAACAAGATTGTCTCTACCGCTAGCTGCCCTGAACCTCCCGATGTGACACTCCCTCCGGCAACAAGATTGTCTCTACCGCTAGCTGCCCTGAACCCCCTGGTGTGACGCTCACTCCGGCAACAAGATTGTCTCTACCGCTAGCTGCCCTGAACCTCCTGGTGTGACGCTCACTCCGGCAACGAGATTGTGCCTACCGCTAGCTGCCCTGAACCTCCCGGTGTGACTCTCCCTCTGGCAACGAGATTGTCTCTACCGCTAGCTGCCCTGAACCTCCCGGTGTGACTCTCCCTCCGGCAACAAGATCGTCTCTACCGCTAGCTGTCCTGAACCTCCTGGTGTGACTCTCACTCCGGCAACAAGATTGTCTCTACCGCTAGCTGCCCTGAACCTCCCGGTGTGACGCTCACTCCGGCAACGAGATGTTCCCTACCGCTAGCTGCCCTGAACCTCCCGGTGTGACTCTCACTCCGGCAACGAGATGGTGCCTACCGCTAGCTACCCTGAACCCCACGGTGTGACGCTCAGTCCGGCAACGAGATTGTCTCTACCGCTAGCTGCCCTGAACCTCCCGGTGTGACTCTCACTCCGGCAACAAGATTGTCTCTACCGCTAGCTGCCCTGAACCTCCTGGTGTGACTCTCCCTCCGGCAACAAGATCGTCTCTACCGCTAGCTGCCCTGAACCTCCTGGTGTGACTCTCACTCCGGCAACAAGATCGTCTCTACCGCTAGCTGCCCTGAACCTCCCGGTGTGACTCTCACTCCGGCAACAAGATAGTCCCTACCGCTAGCTATCCTGAACCTCCCGGTGTGACTCTCACTCCGGCAACGAGATTGTCTCTACCGCTAGCTGCCCTGAACCCCGTGGTGTGACTCTCGCTCCGGCAACAAGATTGTCTCTACCGCTAGCTGCCCTGAACCTCCCGGTGTGACTCTCACTCCGGCAACGAGATGATGCCTACCGCTTGGCCAAGTTGGCGTGAGGGGGGGGGGGGCGGTTGGTCGTGGGTGGCTGGGCGGTGCTCACCTCGGCGTGCTTGCTCCACATCTCAATGTTCTTTCGTTGCGCTTTCGTAAAGTGGTCCCAGGTCCTCTGCTTCTTGGCGGTGTTGAAAACCGCCATGATCTGTTCGACTTTGGGGTAGGCGGGTAGGGGCGGGGGGCGGGGGGTGGAAGCAGGGAGGGGGAGGGTTATTGGTGGAGGGGAGCGCAGGGTGGTGGGGGCGGTGATGGGGTCCAGCCCACCCACCCACCAGCCCGGGCCGTACCGCGACGATGCCAAAACTTACGACGGGCTGTGGAGTCGCTTCCCGCCGTGCCGGCGCAGCGGCCACGGCCCTGCGGCTGCTTTGTCCTGCGTCTCAGCAGGGAGTTACGTGGTGGTGGTGGGGTAAAGGTGGAGGGTGGGGGCGTGGCCAAAGTGTACGGCCACGCCCCGAAACAGCAGAGGCCACGCCCTTCGCCTGGTCAGTTCTATCCCTCGCCCAGTCGCCCACCCACCCACTCACTCACCCACCCACTCACTTACTCACCAACTTCACTCACTCACTCACCCACCCACCTACTCAACGACCCGCCCACCAACCCGCTCACCAACCTACCCACTCACTCACTCACCCACCCACCCACTCACTCACTCACCTACCCACTCACTCACTCACTCACCCACTCACTCACCTACCTACCCACCCACTCACTCACTCACCCACCCACCCAACCTACTGAACAACCCGCCCACCAACCCGCTCACCAACCCACCCACCCGCTCACCCAGCCACCCACCCGCTCACCCAGCCACCCACCCGCCTGCCCACCCGTCCACCAGCCCACTCACCCGCCCACCCCACCCACACATTCACATTCACTCACCCACCCCACCTACCCACATATTCACTCACCCACCCGTCCCACCAACAACCCACCCACACCACCCACCACCCATCCACCCACCCCACCCCCCATCCATCCACCCACCCCACCACCCACCGGACCCCACCCCCAACATCACCACCCATCCACCTACCCACACCCCACTCCACCACCCACCCCACCCCCCACCCCACCACCCACTCAACCCCCCACACCCACCCACCCACCCCACCGACCCATCCACCCAACCACCCCACGACCACCCACACACCAACACTGCGCTACCATCCACCCACACACGATCACCCACACGCACACACCACCCACACACACACACACCACCCCGTGCCTTACCTCTCCACCACGACCACCTGATAGCGGGGAGAGGGGAGAGACGACCGCACGCTCGGACGTCACGGCGAAGAGGTGGGGGACTAGCGATGAGCTACGGGGCGCGGGCGATGAGGTGCGTACGTACGTACGTACGTAGCGCTACGTACGTACGTACACACGCAGCGCCACGTACGTACGTACACACGCAGCGCCACGTACGTACGTACGGCACGTAGCGCTACGTGCGTCTGCGCGTGCGCCACGGACCCGGCTGCCCGAGTTCGATTCCCGCTCACGGCCAACACCGCCGGGGACGATTATCCGAACCGGTCCCGGGCCTCCCCTGCCATAGGTCGACTCGGCCTACAATGAGTACCTGGTGCGGTGTGTAGCGGCGGCGGCGGCGGTAATAAAACATTCGCCAAACCGGGAGAGGCAAAGGCGGACCGGGCGTGGTGGCACCGGCCACCCCACCCACCCAACACCACCGACACGGCCACCTCACCCACCCAACACCACCCCCACCCACCTCGTGCGGTCGCAAGTGCCGGTAGCCTCCACGGGCGCCTCCGCGAGCCGCTCGCTAACGGCGCTCGCCGCCCCTCCCGACGGTCTGTCACAGGCTACACGCCGGGGGGTCTCTGTCTTTGCGAGCGTGCGGGCAAGGGGCAGGCGGGCAAAGGGGGGCGGCAGGGCAAGGGGGGGCGGCAGGGCAGCCACGCTCACATTGGCGCAGGATGGTGGCGAGCGAGCACTTGAAGCGCTCTCGGGCCTGCTCCAGCTCCGCCTCCTGGCTTGCCTTCTCGTTGGTGAGTCGCCTCACGTGGCTGTTGGAGGACTGCACCATGGCGTAGAAGGCGTTGGAGGTGCGGCGGTTCACCTCGCCGCGCTCCATCCACGTGAGCAGCACGCTGATGGCGCTCGGGAACTTGCTGTCGTCTGTGGTGGGCGGGGGACGATGACAACGATGACGACGATGACGACGATGACGGCGATGACGGCGATGACGGCGATGACGACAATGATGACAATAACGACAATGACGACGATGACGACAATAACGGCAATGACGTCAACGACGACAATAACGACAATGACGACGATGACGACGATGACGGCAATGACGGCAATGACGTCAATGACGACAATAACGACAATGACGACAATGACGACAATGACGACAATGACGACAATGACGATGTCAATGAGGACAACAATGACGACGACAATGACGACAATGACAACAATGACAATGACGACAATGACAACAATGACAACAATGACAATGACGACGACAATGACGACAATGACGACAATGACAACAATGACAACAATGACAATGACGACGACAATGACGACAATGACAACAATGACAATGACGACGACAATGACGACAATGACAACAATGACAATGACAACAATGACGACGACAATGACGACAATGACAACAATGACAATGACGACGACAATGACGACAATGACAACAATGACAATGACAACAATGACGACAATGACAACAACGACAATGACAACAATGACAACGACAATGACGATGACAATAACGACAATAACGACAATGACGACAATGACAACAATGACAATGACGACGACGACGACGATGACGACAATGACAACAATGACAATGACAACAATGACAATGGCGACGACAATGACGACAATGACAACAATGACAACAATGACGACGACAATGACGACAATGACAACAATGACAATGACGACGACAATGACGACAATGACAACAATGACAATGACAACAATGACAATGACGACGACAATGACGACAATGACAACAATGACAATGACAACAATGACGACAATGACAACAACGACAATGACAACAATGACAACGACAATGACGATGACAATAACGACAATAACGACAATGACGACAATGACAACAATGACAATGACGACGACAATGACAATGACGACGACAATTACGACAATGACGACAATGACAGCAATGACAATGACAACAATGACAACAATGACAATGACGACGACAATGACGACAATGACGACAATGACAACAATGACAACAATGACGACAATGACAACAATGACAATGACAACAATGACGACGACAATGACGACGACAATGACAACAATGACAATGACGACGACAATGACGACAATGACAACAATGACAATGACAACAATGACGACGACAATGACGACAATGACAACAATGACAATGACGACGACAATGACGACAATGACAACAATGACGACGACAATGACGACAATGACAACAATGACAATGACGACGACAATGACGACAATGACAACAACGACAATGACAACAATGACGATGACAATGACGACAATGACAACAATGACAATGACGACGACAATGACGACAATCACAACAATGACGACGACAATGACGACAATGACAACAATGACAATGATGACGACAATGACGACAATGACAACAATGACAATGACAACAATGACGACAATGACAACAACGACAATGACAACAATGACAACGACAATGACGATGACAATAACGACAATAACGACAATGACGACAATGACAACAATGACAATGACGACGACAAAGACGACGACGACAATGACGACAATGACAACAATGACAATGACAACAATGACAATGACGACGACAATGACAACAATGACAATAACAACAATGACGACAATGACGACGACAATGACGACAATGACAACAATGACAACAATGACGACAACAATGACAATGCCAACAACGACAACAATGCCAACAACGACAACAACGACGACGACGACGACGTCAACGACGAGGAGCGGCGACGACGAGCAGGGGGGCCCCCTACCCTTGAGCTTCTCGACGAGCTGCGACGCTTCGTGCTCCGTGTAGTGGAAGATGGGCGGCGGCGACGGCGACCGGCGGCGCTCCGCGTCGCCGCGGCGACGGTGGCGCTCCTCCCGCGCCAGCGCCCGCTGGCGGCACTCCCACTCGTACTGGTCGTCGCGCGCGCTCGCAAAGTCCACGTGCAGGCGGCCCAGGTCCTGCTTGTCACTGCTGGCGCCGATGCGCATGCGGTAGCCTGCGGGAGGGGCGGCGGTGGTGGTGGGTGGTGGGGTAGGGGTGGGGGGTGGGGTGGTGGGTGTGGTAGGTGGGTGGGTGGGAGGGTGAGTGGGAGGGTGGGTGAATGGGAGGGTGGGAGAGTGGGTGGATGGGAGGGTGAGTGGGAGGGTGGGTGGATGGGAGGGTGGGTGGGAGGGTGGGTGGGTGGGTGGGTGGGTGGGAGGGTGGGTGGGAGGGTGGGTGGGAGGGTGGGTGGGAGGGTGGGTGGATGGGAGGGTGGGAGAGTGGGTGGATGGGAGGGTGAGTGGGAGGGTGGGTGGATGGGAGGGTGGGTGGGAGGGTGGGTGGATGGGAGGGTGAATGGGAGGCTGGGTGGATGGGAGGGTGGGAGGGTGGGTGGATGGGAGGGTGGGTGGATGGATGGGAGGGTGGGTGGGTGGATGGGAGTGTGTGAGTGTGTGTGATGTGAGTGTGTGTGAGTGTGTGTGAGTGTGTGCGAGTGTGTGAGTGTGTGTGTGAGTGTGTGCGAGTGTGTGTGTGTGTGTGAGTGTCCGGCAAAACAACCCCCTACCTCCTCGCGGTGCCAGAAGGGCAACTCTGTCGTGGACAGTGCTGTGGGGGGAGGGCCAATTCCGATTGGTTCCTCCCCTCATGGTGTCTGCGACCACCACAGGGGCTAAACGGGGGCTCTGGACGGGTGTGAGGGGCTGGTAACTCCACCTTCAATAAATTACCACTAAACTACGACTTAAATATGTAACAAATAAGCTTGTGCCGGAGGCCCCGGGGGGACAGGCGTCTATGACGTCTCCCGGCCAAACCCCAATTGGCGGAGCCAGGAGATTGAATCTCTACCCTCGGGGCTCCTCCAGAAACAACGAAAAACCACTACGGATGGCCACGTGGAATGTTCGAACGCTCACTGCGGAGGAGAGGCTACCACTCCTGTCGGGAGCTGGACCGGTACCGCCTGGATCTCTGTGGCATTCAGGAGGTCCGGTGGACCGGTTCTGGCTCCTGCCACCATGAGGGGTGGACAGTCCTCTACTCGGGGCAGCAGACTGCCAAACAACAGGGTGTGGCTCTTCTTTTGAACAAAAGAATGAAGGGGGGCGTGGGAGCGTGGCGGTGAGGTGTGGGAAGCTGTAAGTACCAGGTTACTTTGGGCATGCCTTCCCATCAATCGGAGGCGAGTATTGGTGGTCGTGGTTACTTATGCCCCCACCGAAGACGAACATCCGTGGAGGGATGCAGGCAAAGCCGATGAGTCAGATGCCTTCTATGACCTCCTGTCACAGGTGCTGGCTAAAGTGGCCCCTCGGGATAGAGTCATCATGTTGGGTGACTTCAATGCCCGAGTTGGTCATGATACTGGCACCTGATCTGGAGTGATTGGAGGGCATGGGCCGGATCAGCTCAATAACAACGGTAGGAGGCTGCTAGATTTTTGTGCAGCCCATGGGCTTGTAATTACCAACACGCTGTTCCGGCATCGGCGCATCCACACAACATCATGGATGCATGCCGGGTCCAAGCAAGAACATCTGCTGGACTACATAGTGACGGACCAGCGGATGCGAGCCCATGTCCTTGACACCAGGACCTACCGTGGAGCTGATCTGCCCTCTGACCATCGACTAGTCATCTGTAAGATGCGCCTGTCATTCTTCCGCTCCGGTGGTGGGTGTACACCCAGGACCCCATTCCAACCAAAAGTGGCCTGGTCTCAGTTATCTGATGAAAGTTGCAAGCGAGAATTTCATCATCGCCTGCGGCTGGGGTTGGCATCGTCCCCCACTCCTCCTGATGTCGAGGGGAAATGGGCGAGGTTTAGAACTGTGACTCATGCGGCTGCAATGTCTGCTGTGGGTACACGGTCACGACCTCCCCAGAGACCCTGGCTGACAGAGGAGGTGTTCAGGATGGTTGAGAAAAAGCGACAGGCCCACTGTCAGCGGCTACAGAATCCCACGTCAGAGAATGAAAAGGCTTACCGCAACCTTCGCTCGGAGGTTCGGAGAGCCGTGAGGCGCTGCAAGGATGGGTGGTGGTCGCGGGTTGCTGAGGAGATGGAGTCTGCCTCAGTGGCCCGCGATCACAAATCTCTATTTAACTCCATCAAAAAAGTAACCTGCAGCGTCACACCTATTACCATCATTAGGGGAAAAAAACGGTGATCCAATCTCCGACCCCCAGGAACAGGTTTGCAGATTTGCTGAGCATTTCTGTGAGGTCCAGGGGGAGGGAAAATCCCTCAGCCAGGAAAACATCGTGGCATAAAGTGAGGATGACCCTGCTGAGGCTGTGGTGCCTCAAATATTGGAAGAAGTCACCCCCTGTGAGTGGCTGGCTGAGGTGCCATCTGTTGAGGAAGTACTGAGGGCAATCCGGAGTCTGAGACCAGGAAAGGCAACGGGCAGAGATGATCTCCCAAGCGAAATGCTGAGGGAGGGTGGAGTTTGTGCACAGACTGCCCTATATGACATCATAACAGTCTGGATCACTGGACTGGTTCCGCAGGATTGGAAGGATGCCCTGGTGGTCCCCCTCTTTAAGAAGGGGGGCCGCACAGACTGTAACAACTACAGGGGCATTTCACTCCTCAGTGTGCCGGGAAAGGTCCTGGCAAGGATTATTCAACATCGCCTTGCCAGGCACGCTGAGGAGAGGCTTGCGGAGCCCCAGTGCGGTTTCAGGAAAGGGCGGTCCTGCACAGATGCCATATTTTCTGTCCGTCTGCTACAGCAGAGGTGTAGGGAATTCCAGCAAGATCTACATCTCTGCTTTATTGACCTGGTCAAGGCCTATGATACCATCCATAGGCCTGGGCTCTGGGTTGTTCTTCGTGCCTTTGGAGTACCTGACCCTCTTCTCACGATCATTAAGGACCTTCATGATGGTGAGCGGGCCCGGGTAAAACTACGTGGCTGGGAGTCCGAGCCTTTCCCTTTACACCTTGGGGTGCGACAGGGATGTCCTCTGGCTCCCACATTATTTAACATCTATTTCGACCACGTAGTTCGTGAAGCCTTCAATAGCTGTACCGGGGGAATCTCCATATGGTACAGATATAATGGGAGGCTGATCGATGCCCGGGTGCGGTCAAGGGATGGCTCCCTATTGCTAAACCACGTTATGTATGCTGATGATTTGGTAATAGCTGCTCATTCAGAGGAGGAGTTGGAGACACTGCTGCTGAGACTGGAGCGTGCCACTAAGAGATGGGGCCTTACCATCAGCCCCACCATAACTAAGCACCTGCCTGGGTATTTTGTACCATCGAACACTCCACCCCCACAACTCCCAATCGGTGATGGGGCAGTTGTGGAGAGAGTGGAGAGTTTCCCATACCTGGGAAGTGTGCTTATGACCGGCTCCAGTTTAACAGCAGAGGTCTCACTCCGAATCAGTCAAGCGGCAATATCTTTTCATCGGTTGCGTAACGCTGTGTGGAAGCTACCTGGTCTGTCGCTCCGCACTAAGCTTCAGGTCTTCTCGGCCACAGTCATTCCCTCCCTTCTCTACGCTTGCGAAACGTGGACCCCCCCCCTAATGGAACATCTTCGTCGGTTAGAAACATTTAGGCTGGCCTGCCTACGATCCATCCTGGGTTTAACCAGACTGGATTGTGTGAGGAGCTCACAAATCCTTGAAAGATCTGGGCAAGGTCCCATCGGTGAGCTCCTCCGGCGGGCAAGGCTGCGATGGCTGGGTCATGTAGCCCGCATGCCCAGCCACCGCATGCCGAAACAGCTTTTGTTCGGCCGGATCGAGGGGGCTAAGCGGGCGCGGCATGGGCTAGAGAAGAGATGGAGTGATGTGGTACAGGAGGACATGGAGCTGAGTGGACTTGCCGATGACTGGTACCAGCGGTGTCAACATCGGCCTCTGTGGAGGAGGCACGTGAAGGACGCTACTGGGCAGTTGGAGGCAGTCGCCCTCCAACAACAACGGCGGGCGGAGGAGCAACGCTCAGAACAACGAGCGGAGCGTCGGGTGGCTAAAGCACAGCAGGTTGGTACAGTAGGGGGCACAGGTGGTGCATCAGCCAGTCATCTCAGTCAGTCTACCCGTGGCACCACCTGAGTCTGCCCCGTGACCTCCTGCCAGCTTGGCACAAGCGTCGTGGTGACGTCACCGCCACTTAGTGGCGAATGGCGGTTGTTGTTGTTGTGTGTGTGCGCGAGTGTGTGCATCACCCCTCACCCGACAGGTATATGGCCCTCTCCACGGCCTGTGGCTGAGCAAAGCGTGAGTGTGTGAGTGTGTGAGTGTGAGTGTGTGTGAGTGTGTTTATGAGAGTGCGTGAGTGCGAGTGTGTGAGTGAGTGTGAGTGAAAGTGTGTGTGAGTGTGTGTGTGTGAGAGTGTGAGTGAGGGAGTGTGTGTGAGTGTGTGTGAGTGTGAATGAGTGTGAGCGAGTGAGTGTGAGTGAGTGTGCACCACCCCTCACCCGACAGGTATATGGCCCTCTCCACGGCCTGTGGCTGAGCAAAGCGCACGTGGGCAAAGTTCTTCTTCCCCTTGCGCAGGGCCGTGAGCTCGCCGCACTTCTCAAACACCTCGCGGATTGTCTCCTCGCTCGCCGCCTCCGGCAGGCCCCCCACAAACACCGTCTTGCAGCCGGGGGGGCGCTCGCGCAGGGACGGCGGGGGCAGGTCTGGGGGGGGGCGGGGGGGGTGGAACGACGCGACGCGGTGACGCGGTGATGCGGTGACGCGTTCCACCGCGACGCGCCGACGACGCGGTGGTGGTGACATCATAGTAGTGGTAGTGACATCATGGTGTTGGTGGTGGTGGTGGTGGTGACATCATAGTAGTGGTAGTGACATCATGGTGGTGGTGGTGACATCATAGTGGTGGTGGTGACATCATGGTGGTGGTGGTGACATCATGGTGGTGGTGGTGACATCATGGTGGTGGTGACATCATGATGGTTGTGGTGACATCATGGTGGTGGTGGTGACATCATGGTGGTGGTGACATCATGGTGGTGGTGGTATCATAGTAGTGGTGGTGGTGATGACATCATGGTGGTGGTGGTGACATCATAGTAGTGGTGGTGGTAACATCATGGTGGTAGAGGTGGTGACATCATAGTAGTGATGGTGACATCATGGTGGTGGTGACATCATAGTAGTGGTGGTGACATCATGATGGTGGTGGTGACATCATGGTGGTGGTGACATCATAGTGGTGACATCATAGTAGTGGTGGTGACATTATAGTAGTGGTGGTGGTGACATCATGGTGGTGGTGACATCATAGTAGTGGTGGTGACATCATGGTGGTGGTGACATCATAGTAGTGGTGGTGACATCACGGTGGTAGCGGTGGTGGTGACATCATGATGGTGGTGGTGACATCATGATGGTGGTGGTGACATCATGGCGGTGGTTGCGACATCATGGCGGTGGCGCCGATGACGGCGCCAGCGACGACGGTGACATCATGTTGGCGATGATGTCACGGTGGCGGTGATTGTGGCGGGGCGGTGGCTGTGACCGCGGCGGGGATGATGTTACGGTGCTGCTTGCAGATGACGGTGGCGGTGACGGTGACGCCGGTGACGCCGGTGACGGCGGTGACGGCGGTGACGGCGGTGACGGCGGTGACGGCGACTTCCCTTACTGGGATTGGGTGGGAAGAGAGTGCAGTTGGTGCAGTGGATGATCTCCTTGGGCTGCTGCTGCTGCTGCTGCAGACCGGGAGGCATCAGCTGCTGCTGGCAGAAGCTCTGGTAGACGTTCATGCCGGCGGTGAAAGCCATGGGGTCGAAGCCGGAGTCCATGCCAGGCGGTGCCGAACCCAGCAACCCTATCCTGGGCTCGAACCCGGAACCGGCGCCGCCGCCGCCGCCGCCGTCCATGCCTGGGGAGTTTCCACAATCCGGCGAAAAGCACCAGCACCACCACCAACGTCACCACCACCACCACCACCATCTTCCGCCACTGCCACCAACGTCACCACCACCACCACTATGACAACCACCACAACGACTACGACCACCACCACCACGACCACCACCATCACCACCACTACCACAACAACAACAACGATCACCACAACCACCACATACAGCACCACATCCACAACCATCGCCGCCAACACATTCACAACCACCAACGCATTCACAGTCACAACCACCAGACTCACCACCAACACACTCACCACCAACACACTCACCAACACCACATTCACCACCACCACACTCACCACCACCACACTTACCACCAACACACTCACCACCACCACACTCACCACCAACACACTTACCACCACCAACACATTCACAACCACCAACGCATTCACAGTCACAACCACCACACTCACCACCAACACACTCACCACCAACACACTCACCACCGCCAACACATTAACAACCACCAACACATTCACAACCACCACACTCACCACCACCACACTCACCACCACCACACTCACCACCACCACCACCACACTCACCACCACCACCACACTCACCACCACCAACACACTCACCACCTCCACACTCACCACCGCCAACACATTAACAACCACCAACACATTCACAACCACCAATACATTCACAACCACCAACATATTCACAACCACCAATACATTCACAACCACCAACACATTCACAACCACCACACTCACCACCAACACATTCACAACCACCACACTCACCACCACCACACTCACCACCACCACCACACTCACCACCAACACACTCACCACCAACACACTCACCACCACCAACACACTCACCACCAACACATTCACAACCACCACACTCACCACCACCACACTCACCACCAACACACTCACCACCACCAACACACTCACCACCACCAACACACTCACCACCACCAACACATTCACAGTCACAACCACCACACTCACCAAGGTGATGGATATGATGGTGGTGAGTGTGATGGTGGTGGTGAGTGTGGTGGTGGTGAGTGTGTTGGTGGTGAGTGTGGTGGTGGTGAGCGTGGTGGTGGTGTGTGGTGGTGGTGAGTGTGTTGGTGGTGAGTGTTGTGGTGGTGTGGACGTGGTGGTGAGTGTGGTGGTAGAAATGTGGTGCTGGTGATTATGGACGTGGTGGTGGTGGTGAGTGTGGTGGTGGTGATTGTGGTTGTGTTGGTGCTGGTGTGTGTGGTGGTGGTGGTTGTGGACATGATGGTGGTGAGTGTGGACGTGGTGGTGGTGAGTGTGGTGGTGGTGAGTGTGGTGGTGGTGAGTGTGAACGTGGTGGTGGTGAGTGTGGTGGTGATGGTGGTTGTGTTGGTGGTGGTGGTGAGTGTGGACATGGTGATGGTGGTGAGTGTGGTGAGTGTAGTGGTGGTGAGCGTCGTGATGGTGATTGTGGTGGTGGTGGTGGTTGTGGACATGGTGGTGGTGAGTGTGGACGTGCTGGTGGTGGTGGTTGTGGACGTGGTGGTTGTGGACATGGTGGTGGTGAGTGTGGATGTGATGGTGATTGTGGTGGTGGTGGTTGTGGACATGGTGGTGGTGAGTGTGGTGGTGGTGGTGGTGAGCGTCGTGATGGTGATTGTGGTGGTGGTGGTTGTGGACATGGTGGTGGTGAGTGTGGACGTGGTGGTGGTGATTGTGGTGGTGGTGAGTGTGGATGTGGTGGTGGTTGTGGACATGGTGGTGGTGAGTGTGGACGTGATGGTGATGATGGAGGTGAGTGTGGACGTGATGGTGATTGTGGTGGTGGTGGTTGTGGACATGGTGGTGGTGAGTGTGGACGTGATAGTGATGGTGGTGGTGAGTGTGGACGTGATGGTGATTGTGGTGGTGGTTGTGGACATGGTGGTGGTGAGTGTGGACGTGCTAGTGGTGGTGGTTGTGGACGTGGTGGTGGTGGTGGTGGTGGTTGTGGACATGGTGGTGGTGAGTGTGGACGTGATGGTGATTGTGGTGGTGTTGGTGAGTGTGGACGTGCTGCTGGTGATTGTGGTGGTGTTGGTGAGTGTGGACGTGCTGCTGGTGATTGTGGTGGTGTTGGTGAGTGTGGACGTGCTGCTGCTGCTGCTGGTGGTGGATGTGACACCCACCGCCCATACCCATCATGCTGGCCATGTTGGCCATCTGCATGGCGTCCGCCCAGCCGCCCAGCGGCCCTACCCCCTCCTCCATGTCCATCATGAGGGCCGGCTCACGGCCCACTGCTCACACACGCAACAAAGACAAAGGTCCCCCGTGTAGCCTTCACGCAACGCCGGGGGCAAGTGCTGCTTGTGGCGAGTGGCAGCAGCAGCAGCAGCGGTGGCTATGCAACGCCGCACACGCTGGCACGCGCACACACACATACACACACTCACACACACACATACATACATTCACATACACACACATACACACACATACATTCACATACACACATACACACACATACACACACACATACACACACACATACACACACTCACACACATACATACATACATTCACATACACATATACACAACAACAACCGCCATTCGCCACTAAGTGGCGGTGACGTCACCACGACGCTTGTGCCAGGCTATGTGCACCGTGAGGCCACGTGAAGTGTCGAACGCCCGCTGGCAGGTCACTGGGCAGACCCAGGTGCCACGGGTCGACTGAAATGACTGGCTGATGCACCACCTGTGCCCCCTACTGTGCCAACCTGCTGTGCTTTAGCCACCCTGCGCTCCCCTCATTGTTCTGAGCGTCGCTCCTCCGCCCTCCGTTGTTGTTGGAGGGCGACTGCCTCCAACTGCCCAGTAGCATCCTTCACGAGCCTCCTCCACAGAGGCCGATCTTGCCACCGCTGGTACCGGTCATCGGCAAGTCCACTCAGCTCCACGTCCTCCTGTACCACATCACTCCATCTCTTCTCTAGCCCGTGCCGCGCCCGCTTAGCCCCCTCAATCCGGCCAAACAAAAGCTGTTTCGGCATGCGGTGGCTGGGCATGCGGGCTACATGACCCAGCCATCGCAGCCTTGCCTGCCGGAGGAGCTCACCGATGGGACCCTGCCCAGATCTTTCAAGGATTTGTGAGCTCCTCACACAATCCAGTCTGGTTAAACCCAGGATGGATCGTAGGCAGGCCAGCCTAAATGTTTCTAACCGGCGAAGATGTTCCATTAAGGGGGTCCACGTTTCGCAAGCGTAGAGAAGGGACGGAATGACCGTGGCCGAGAAGACCTGAAGCTTCGTGCGGAGCAACATACACACACACTCACACACGCACTCACATACATACACTCACACACTCACATACAAACACTCACACACACTCACATACACACACTCACACAAAGACAAAAATCCTCCATATAGCCTTAACAGACTGTAGGGGCAAGTGCTGTTAGCGAGCACCTATGAAGGCCGGAACGGTACACGAGGGGGTGGGTGGCCAGCACCACGCCCGACCGCCTTTGTCTCCCCAGTGGCGATGTTTACCACTACACACCGCACCAGCTACTCATTTGAGGCCGAGTCGACCTAGGGAGGACCCAGGACCGGTTCAGGTAATCGTCGTGGCCGTGAGCGGGAATCGAACCTGGGTCGCCGGGTTCATAGCGCAGCGTAGCGCTAACCGCTACACCACCGCACACATACACAGAGCCAGCAGCAGCAATCATCGCCACCCCCTGACGGTGAAACCACCCCAGCTGCTGGTGCTGCGTCTGTGAAACAGCAACAGCAGCACCAGCAGCAGCGTCTTCCTGCGTTGACGATCGCGCTGTGAGTGTGTCACACGGGGACAGCTGCCGCTGGGGGTGCCCCCTCCCTAGGCTACGCCACGCAGCAGCAATCATCGCCACTCTCTTTGAGGGTGAAACCACCGCAGCTGCTGGTGCTGCGTCCGTGAAACAGCGGCACCAGCGGCTCTGCCTTCCAAGGGGGAACTCAATTATTGATCACTCGCTCTACTACCCGGCTTCGATTAATACACGGCCTACGCGGAGGGTGGGGGAGGGGGGGGGATGCGTGACGTCAGCAGGCGCGCCGCCGCGTGACGTCAGCAGGCAGGCCGCGTGACGTCAGCAGGCACTCCGCGTGACGTCAGCAGGCACACCGTGTGACGTCAGCAGGCACGACGCTGTCGCGTGCGGGTGACATCACATCTGTGACATCATGGATGTGACGTCACAGATGTGACATCACAGATGTGACGTCACAAATGTGACGTCACAGATGTGACGTCACAGATGTGACGTCACAGATGTGACGTCACAGATGTGACGTCACAGATGTGACGTCACAGATGTGACATCACCGCTCACTCGCCGTGCAAAATACATCCATTATTGCGCCCCCCCCCCACCCTGCCACCCACCCCCCCCAAAACACAAAAGTCTATTTTTATACTTTTTTGCATGGTGTACCAGTCTGGAAGCTACCCGCATGGCAAATGCCAAGTTCGCCGCGTGTCGGGAAGTACGCTGAACATCCCCAACAGACGCACACAATCACAAAATTTCCCTCTTTTTTTTTTTTAAATATATATAGATATAGATACGGATAGAGGCGGGCGCCTGCTCAGGCGTTAGATACAAACGCGTCGTCAAGCCCCGCCACGGCTCCGTCAAGCCCCGCCACGGCTCCGTCAAGCCCCGCCACGGCTCCGTCAAGCCCCGCCACGGCTCCGTCAAGCCCCGCCACGGGCCCGACACGGAGCTAGGCCTGGCTCGCTCCTGGCACGGCACCGGCGCGGCCCGAGTGATGGCAGAGCAAATCCACCGCGACATTCACAAATCGGAGCGAGCGCGACGCTTCGCCAGCAATCAGCGACCCCCGGCGTCAGCGGTCGACAGGCAGGTCCGCGGAGAAGCCCCCCCCCCCCCCGCTGCTGCTGCTGCTGCTGCTGCTGCAGTGGCGGTGGTGGTGGCGGGTTTCACGGTGCCACGCGTGTGTGTGTGTGTGTGCGTGTGTGGATGTACAGTCGCGCCCCGGGACACTTCCGCTTGGGAATGCGGCGAAACCTTACCCGCTTTCCGCGAATGTTTTGCGAGACGATTTTAAATGTGTTCTAGATTTAAAGCTTTCGTGACTGCTAGGATCCATAGCTCTTTGGTTCTATTGGGTAAAGTCACGTAGGTAAAAAAAATAATAATAATAACAAAAATCACGACGTTTCGGCCACAACACAAGCGGCCTTCATCAGGTGAAGGGACGAGACTGTCTGGAGGACAGCGCTGGAGTGAAAAAGCCACGATCTGTCCTACCAGACAGTCTCGTCCCTTCACCTGATGAAGGCCGCTTGTGTTGTGGCCGAAACGTCGTGAGAATTTTATTATTTTATTTTCACCTACGTGACTTTACCCAATAGAACCAAAGAGTATGGATTTTAAAAGATGTTTCAGTGAATATTAATTTGATGAGCGGGGCCGATGGGTTCGGAATAGATTTTAGTTGTTTTTTTTAATTATCACAACTTTCTGTATTTAACGTCGGAAGCGATTCACACCTTTGAGTTCTCACGCCGGCATTAGGTTATTTCGAGCGGTTCATACTTTGGTGGCGTCACGTGCTAATGCTCCATCACGTGTTGCGAATCTATTACACGGTGACTACTGAAAATGAAGCTCCGCTTTAAAAAAAAAAATGTTGAACGGCAACTGGACATTTCCCCCCCCCCCCCCAAAATCGTCCAGCCCTACCGTACACACCGCAGCCCGCGCCTCGCGAATCGACCGCGTGGGCGAGGCAACGGTCCGCCACGCGGCCTCGCAAGCTCTGCCGGGCACCTGCCAAGGGCAAGCGGGGGCACCATGACGGCTGCTGGTGGAGACATGTGGCCCGCACGCCGCCCCTGGGTGCCGATGTTTTGACCGCACGCCGCCCCGGGTCGACTCGGGCCTCGGGGGCCAGGGCCAAGGGGCCCCGGGTCGACTCGGGCCTCGGGGGCCAGGGCCAAGGGGGCCCCGGGTCAAGGGCCCCGGGTCGACTCGGGCCTCGGGGACCAGGGCCAAGGGCTCCGGGCCAAGGGGCCCGGGGTCGACTCGACCGAGGCCGAGTCGACCCCGGGGACCAGGGCCAAGGGGCCCCGGGACCGATTCTGACCGTCGTCATCGTCGTCGCCATCGCCGTCGGCGGTGTCGGTGTTGTCGGTGTTGTCGGTGTTGTCATCGTCGCCGGCGGTGGCGGTGTTGTCGGTGTTGTCGGCGTTGTCATCGTCGCCGGCGTTGTCGGTGGTGTCGGCGTTGTCGGCGTTGTCGGCGGTGTCGGTGTTGTCGGCGGTGTCGGTGTTGTCGGCGGTGTTGGCGGTGTCGGTGTTGTCGGTGTTGTCGGCGTTGTCGGCGGTGTCGGTGTTGTCGGCGGTGTCGGTGTTGTCGGCGGTGTCTGTGTTGTCGGCGGTGTCGGTGTTGTCGGCGTTGTCGGCGGTGTCGGCGGTGTCGGCGTTGTCGGCGTTGTCGGCGTTGTCGGCGGTGTCGGTGTTGTCGGCGTTGTCGGTGTTGTCGGCGTTGTCGGTGTTGTCGGCGGTGTCGGTGTTGTCGGTGTTGTCGGTGTTGTCGGCGGTGTCGGTGTTGTCGGCGGTGTCGGTGTTGTCGGCGGTGTCGGTGTTGTCGGTGTTGTCGGCGTTGTCAGCGGTGTCGGCGGTGTCGGCGGTGTCGGTGTCGGTGTTGTCGGTGTTGTCGGTGTTGTCGGCGGTGTCGGTGTTGTCGGCGGTGTCGGTGTTGTCGGCGGTGTCGGTGTTGTCGGTGTTGTCGGTGTTGTCGGCGGTGTCGGTGTTGTCGGCGTTGTCGGTGTTGTCGCCCGCGAGCGGGACTCGAGCTCAGGTTGCCGGGCCGCGGGCGCGGTCACCGCCGCCGCGGGAGCCAACCGGAGTGCGGGGAGAGAGAGGTCACGATGTTGACTACCTCGCCTGGTATACAGGAGGTCGTGGGGTTGATCCCGACCTCCGACCCCTGCTGTATATTTAGAGTTTTCGTGTCTCTCTCTCTCTCTCATCCTCATGATCATCACGGTGGCTAGAAGATGTTAACTACCTCGCCTGGTATACAGGAGATCATGGGTTCGATCCCGACCTCCAACCCCTGCTGTATATGTGGAGTTTGCGTGTCTCCCTCTCTCATCCTCATGATCATCACGATGGCTAGGGGATGTTAACTACCTCGCCTGGTATACAGGAAATCGTGGGTTCGATCCCGACCTCCGACCCCTGCTGTATATTTGGAGTTTGCGTGTCTC